AGGGCACTCACCAGCCCTGTCCTCCCCAGCAGCTCTGTGGTGGGAGGGGAGGGAGGCGGAGGTCCGAGGTCAGGCCCCTCTGGGACTTGCTTGTGCCTGAGCAAAGGTAGTTCCTGGGAGGATGGGGAGGAGACAAGTGCGGCCCCCTGGACCCCTGGCCCCCTCGGGGCTGTGGGGAGAGCCATTTGCTCATCCTGCTGCCGCTGCCTCCCCAGCTGACACCTGGGTGGCTGCCCGTGCCTGCCCCAGCCTGGCCCCTGCCCCTGCTGTCTCCTCTCACGATGCCCTCTCACCCCTCCCGCCCGTGATGCCCTCTCGCCCCACCCGCCCGTGATGCCCTCTCGCCCCACCCGCCCGTGATGCCCTCTCGCCCCTCCCGCCCGTGATGCCCTCTCACCCTGCCCACCCACAGTGCACAGGTTCCATGTGACAGTGGCTCCAGGCACCAAGTTGGAGAGCGGCCCAGCCACCCTGCACCTCTGCAATGACATCCTCGTCTTGGCCAGGGACATCCCCCCGGCTGTCACGGGGCAGTGGAAGCTGTCCGACCTCCGGCGCTACGGGGCCGTGCCGAGCGGATTCATCTTTGAAGGCGGGACCAGGTGTGGGTACTGTAAGTACGGATGCATGGGCTCACTGGGCAGCGGCAGCACCCCCACTTCCCCGAGAACTGCTGGCTTCGGGCCGACCGACCCCGCGTGCAGGCCAGCCTGCTGGCATTTCCAGAACGCATCAGCAGGTGGATGGCGTCTCCCCACGCTCGATGTCCGAGGTCCTCTGCCCGCAGGAACCTCAGTGTGGAGTGCCAAGTATGGGGCCTCAGCTGCCTCTGCTCTTCCTTACTGCAGGGAGAGCGTATGGGGATGGGAGGAGGGGCCCGAGGCCACAGAGCCTCAGAGCTGCTCATATCCGGATTTCATGAAAAGGAAAAAACAAAGAACAAATGCATTTAGCAGCGGGGAGCGTGAGCTCCCGCATGAGCACCACGGAAACACGTTCCTGGACCAAGAATTCCTGGTGGACACGCCAGCCGCCCCGCCTGTGGGTCGCCCAGAGCTGCCCTAATGTCCCCAGTGAGGTGGCCAGGCCGTGGGTGGGGATGGCCTGAGTCCTTTGGGCGCGTGAAGGCCTGAGAGCTGCCCTCAGCCAGGGGAGTGAGGGAAATGGGAGCAGGAAGGCACCCAGCCCTCCCCAGAGAGTCTGAGGGCTGCTGCAGGAGCGGGCTGTCCCAGTGACCCCCTCCACTTTCTCCCATGTTGGGTGCAGATGCGCCGGGCTGCCCTGTGGACCTGCAATCCCCGCAGAGGGCGTGACGCCTCCTCTCTTCCCTCTGGAGGGGCAGCTGCTCATTGGCCGGGCGGGTGGCGGGCAGAGGGGCCTCCTGTGGGCCTGGTGTGGGGCTGAGAGGACTGAGGGACAGCACTTGGTTCACACTGGCCGGGGCTCTGGCTCACACTGGCTCACACTGGCTCACACTGGCCAGGGCTCTGGTTCACACTGGCTCACACTGGCTCACACTGGCCGGGGCTTTGGTGGAGCCTGGATGTCTGGGCGGAGCAAATGCAGGCAGCAACACAGGCCACGCTGGCCGCTTGGGGCCTCATCCTGCAAAGGCCCGCTGGGGCACGGGCGCAAGCCCATCTGGGTGCCATGTTACACCACCTTCTGCGCTGGGTGCTGGGAGCAAACCCAGTGGGTCTCGCTGCAGGAGCCGGCCTGTTGGGGCCTTTGAGGTGGCAACATCTGACCCTTGAAAGGGGAACAGGGCGGCAAGGCTCAGGCTCCACGGAGGCCGGGGCGTACACAGCCAGCTGCAGGAGGCACAGCTGGCCCGGAGTCTCGGCCCCTGGGGCTGGCAGGGACCATAGCCAGAGTCCAAAGGGCCTTGGCCCCTCCAGGATTGGACAGCCAGTATGGATGGGCAGGGTCGCTGCTCACGCCAGCTGTGGGCTGGTGTGGGGGGTGGGGGTGGTTCCCGGGAGAGCTAGGACACCTGTCGGGGTCCCATCTGCTGGATAGGCCCCCAGGCGCCCCTGCGGCAGGCCGGAGGTTCAGCACGGGGGCTTCAGGAGCCACTGGGGAGGGGGCTGGCAGCGGCCAGGAATAGTGGCTGGACCCAGCGTCCCTGTCCTCTGTCGCGTGGGAAGCCAGAGCTGCAGGCTCTAGTTGTCCTGGCACGGGCAGCCTGTCCCGTCTGTGGTGTGCTAGATTTGGGGGTGCCTGGAGGGGGGGACCCATGCCTTCCTTTCTGTCTATGGAATTCCTTGGCACGGGCAGGCAGCTGGCCGGGTTGGCGCCGCGTGCTCACCCTCTAAGCTGGGGTGTGGCAGGAGGACCCGGGTCCTTGGAGACCTGCTTATTTTGTCTGGGCCATAATGGAATGGGGCCGCTGGATGTTTTCCCTCTGAGGCCGCGGAGGTTCACATCCCTGCCGAGGTGTGGGTGGCCCCTCTTCCGCCGGTAAACAGTCCCACACCTGGGGCTGTGCTTCCCCCCAGGGCGAGGCTGGTGTGCTGTTTTCCTGGGCTGCTCAAAAGCCAGGGTGAACTCTTGTGGGGCCGTCTGTCCTGCTGCTGCCTCCCCGGGGCAAGGTGTTAGAGCAGCCCCACCCGCAAACCTGCAAACCGGGCTGGCCACACAGAACCCACAAATGGGGGCTGGCCCCACAGAACCCCCCTCTGCAGCTCAGTGCTGAACGTTCTCGTCCCCGGTGGGACCCTGGCCTGAGAGGAAGGGCTCTGGGAATTCCGTCACCGATGGCTGCACACCCCGTAGGGCAGGTGGGTTCTGGAGGGCAGGCTGGAAGGCTTGGCCGAGTCGCCCAGCAGGCCCTGCTGGGCTCTATCCTCCTGGAGACGGGCGTGGCCGCCACCCTGGGTGGTTTAGGCTGGGTCTTAGACTCGGCCAAGTGATGGTGTTCGCAATGCAACACTGAGTGCAGGCCGTGTGGCTGGAGGGACAGGGCGTCTGCGGCACGTGTGGGCAACCCGGGGCCTCTTGTGGGAGGGAGCTGGCGACTCGGGTGGTCCAGGGGCAGCGGCATCAGCTTTCTGGGGCTTCTGTAGCAGATGACCCCCAAGAGAGGGCCAAGTGTCCAGAATGGGTTCCTTCTGCAGCCTGGAGGCCAGAAGTCCCAAATCAAGGGGTCCTCAGGGTCGGCTTTTCCCAAAAACTCTTAGGGGGGACCCATGGGAAGGTCCTTCCTGCCCCTTCCAGCCGCTGGTGGCCCCAGCAGCCTCGGCTCGTGGCTGCGCTGCTCCGATCCCTGAGCTGCTCCAATCCCTGCGCCTGCTGGCTCCTGCGTGGGCCCCCTCTTCTGTCTCTTGTAGTCCCTGGACTTAGGGCCCCCCTGGATGACCCAGGATGACCTCATCCCGAGATCCTCAGTTCCATCCACAGAGACCCTTGTTCACAGGTTCTGGTATGTGAACACATTTTCTGGGCCACCATTTGGTCCACAACCAGGGCCACTGGGACAGAGAAGGATCCAGAATCTGGATCCCAGTAAGTCTGTGGGTGTCGTCACATTCAGTCTGGAGGTCACAGCTGGGCTGGCATCGTGGGAAGGCCCTGGAAGGTTTTGGGTGTAGGAAATCCACATTCCCTTCTTCCCCAGGGACAGGTCCCAGCCTGGCCCCCAATCCGAAGAACGGCCTCACTCGGCCCCGCCACAGCCAGCTCTGCAGACAGCAGAGAGGGTGACCCTGGCCCAAGGCGACGCCTCACTCATCCTGAGATGCCGGGCATGGCTGCGCATCACGGGGGCCCTGCTGGGGGTCTGGTGGAGACAGGCCTGGCTGGACTTGGTGCCTGGGGGCGGAGGTCTCTCTGTGGACAGCTGCCTGTTCAGAATGGGACAGGAGGTGGCTTGGTGACAGCAACTCTGGGTCCCCAGTGTGGCCCAATTTCCTGTCTCTATTGGTCACGGGCCTGTAGTGTGGACTCCCGGAGCTTGGCCCGAGCGCACTTGGCACATGGCAGGTGATGGTCTGTGGACGGTTCAGGGCTGCGGGCTCCAGCCTCACACACGGGCAAGTGACTGGGCCCCGCCTGCAGGGACGGATGTGCATGGTGGAGTGATGCAGAGAGGGCCACTCACCCCGGGACAGGCTCAGCTTGCAGCAGAGGACGGTGGGTCCTGGAGAGGGTGAGCCCACCCAGAGTCCAGGAAGGAAGGGCTTTGGAGGGGCAGGGGGACATTTGAGCTAGGCCTTGAGGGCAAATGGAAGCTTTTGGAGGTGCCCCCTTTTCCCCCCTTACCTGCTGTCTCCAGCTGGGTCCAGTCCAAGGACCACATCTGCCTCTTCACCCAGCCTCTGGGGGCCACCAGGGGCATTTGAAATTCATTTTGACTTTTAAAAATGAGTAAAGAAGGTGGCCAGGCATGGCGGCTTATGCCTGTAATCCCAGCACTTTGGGAGTCTGAGGCGGGAGGATCACCTGAGGTCAGGAGTTCGAGATCAGCCTGGTCAACATGGTGAAACCCTGTCTCTACTAAAAATACAAAAATTGGGCAGCTGTGGTGGCACACACCTGTAATCCCAGCTACTCCAGGGACTGAAGTGGGAAAATCACTTGAACCCGGGAGTTGGAGGTTGCAGTGAGCCGAGATCCTGCTATTGCACTCCAGCCAGGGCAACAGAGCCAGACTCTGTCTCAAAAAGAAAAAAAATAAAAAATAAAAAAGCGTGAAGAATGAAAACCCCAACTAGGAGGCTCTTGCTGTGTGCACGTCGCATCTGCCCAGCTCCAGAGCGCCCCCTGCCGGCCGTCTTTGGCCACTGCAGCCTGGCGGGCAGCCTGGACCGAGCTGGCTGGAGCTCTGGCCTCTGTCCCGGGCGCTGGGGCAGCAGAGGATGCCTTCAGTGGCTTCTCCTGGTCGGGCGCCGGGTCTAGGGATCAGATAGTCGGGCCTCAGAGCCTGCATGAGACTGAATGAGGCATTTTCAGTCCTCAGAGGGTGGGAGGGGAGCCGGGAGGGGCACAGACCCCAGGCTGGGGTGTTGGGGGAAGCTCTCCAGAGAAGTGAGCTTCTGCAGGGTGAATAGGAGTTAGCTCAGCTGTCAGAGGGTAAGAGGTGGAGAGGGGTGAAAAGGCACTTCAGACATTTTTGAGCACGAGTGGGTGTCCCGAAGAGCTGTGTAGGAGCCCTGTTAGGTGGGGATAGGAGTCGTGAGGGTAGAGGAGGAGGAGACAGGGCTGGGTTGTAGAGAGTTGCCTAACTGGACTAGCGAGCATTTTCACCATTGTCTCAGAGTAGCAGGGAGCCATTGAAGGTGCTTGAGCAGGGAGAAGTGTTTCGTATGCTAATGTTGACCCCAGGTGCAGATGAGCGTGGAGAAAGGGGCTGACAGGGGCCAGAGGAGGTTCTGGTTGTGGTCCAGATGATGGAGGGCGAGGCTGCCCCAGGCAGCAGCTGCCCGGTTGAGGGGTGGGAACCCTGTGGATTCCAGGAATGTGAAGAAGGTGGTGATGATGGACAAGGGGAGGAGGGGCGGCCCGGGAAGGGGGATCTTCTAGAGCTGTGCCCCTGGACTGGGGCTGCTTCAGGAGGGCAGAGGAGGGGTGGGAACTGACACCCACTGCCAGGCTCCAGGCCTTCCCCTGTCCGAGACTCACCAGGTGGGGCCACTCCCACGTGCACAAGAAGCTGCCACCTTGGGGGTGGGGAGGGCTGAAGTCATGTTATCAAGAATTCTCAGTCCTGCCTACACCTGCCTGGCATGAGCCATCCAGGGTACCCTGGTCATCCTGCTGTTTGTTCTCTGAGGAGCTGGGATTCTGAGCACTTAAGATTCTGACATCAAGAGGCAGCCATGAGGGCACTCAAGATTATTCCAACGGAAACCGTCTTAGACCTAAATGGCTCATTGAGTGTCTTCGTGGAAACCACGAGGGCAGTCAAGACTATTCAAACGGAAACCGTCTTAGACCTAAATGGCTCATTGAGTGTCTGCGTGGAAACCACGAGGGCAGTCAAGATTACTCAAATGGAAACCGTCTTAGATCTAATTGGCTCATTGAGTGTCTGCGTGGAAACCATGAGGGCAGTCAAGATTACTCAAACAGAAACCGTCTTAGATCTAATTGGCTCATTGAGCGTCTGTGTGGAAACCACGAGGGCAGTCAAGATTATTCAAACGGAAACCGTCTTAGATCTAATTGGCTCATTGAGTGTCTGCGTGGAAACCACGAGGGCAGTCAAGACTATTCAAATGGAAACCGTCTTAGATCTAATTGGCTCATTGAATGTCTGCGTGGAAACCACGAGGGCACTCGAGGTTATTCAAACGGAAACCATCTTAGACCTAATTGGCTCATTGAATGTCTGCGTGGAAACCACGAGGACACTCGAGATTATTCAAATAGAAACCGTCTTAGATCTAATTGGCTCATTGAATGTCTGTGTGAAACAGCATTTTCTTTCTCAAGCCAGTGAGTCCTGGAGTTAGTGTGGCAGCTTTTTCACTGGAGACTTGTTTCTTAGGAAGCAGGTGCGACTATAACGTGGGTGAGGTTTGCCTGCAGCTCAGCAACCCCAGTCTCTGTACAGAGTGGGAGCTGCCCTGAGCCCCGCAGGCTGTGGCCTTCTGCTTGCATCCTGCTGACTCTGTCCTGCTTCTCTGTGTGCTCTTTCCTGCGGTGTGACAAACCCTCCCACACCTAGCGGCTGGCGGCTGTTCCCTGGCTGGCAATTCTGTGGGCCAGGGATTTGGACGGGGCTCGGTGGGGACAGCTCATCTCTGACCCATGAGGTGCTGCCTGGGGTCCCTCAGGCAGTGGCATTTGGCTATGGTGGGGCCCAAAGGCCCAGGAAAATGCCGTGTCGGCTGTTGGTTGGGTTACCTCAGTTTCCCTCCAGGAACCTCACCCTCTGATAGGACAGCCTGGGCTTCTCAATGGTTCCAAGAGGGCAGAAGCAGAAGCTGCCAGGCCTCTGATGGTCTCGGGGCAGGGCTGGGAGAGCATCCCTCGTGCCACTTTATGCCAGAGCCATTACTGGCTGGCCCTGATTCCAGGGAGGGAGTGGACCAGCCTCTTGAGAAGGGGCAGCCTCCGAGGGCAGGGGTAGGGGAAGCGAGTGGCTGGCTTTGCTGCGGCCACACCTGTGTGATACAGCAAAATGGGGCAGGCCCTGTTCTTCCCCCCCTTTCCCCAAACACACAGGCAAACAGGGAACATGCACGCGCTGTGCTGGGGAAGGGCAGGGTGGGGTCAGCAGCCTCTCACCTACTTCCTTCCACCCAAGGCTGAGCACTGGGGGTCTCCTGGTTATGGGTGCTTGGCTGGACACTGACACCACAGGCAGCTCAGGCTCCCTGCCAGCAAGGTGCTCAGCCTGGTGGCCGGGACAGCAGCAGACGGGGTTCTGCCCCAGAGGAGGCATCCGTGAGAGCATCACAGAGGGGCAGTCGGGGTCAGGAGACTGAAGGGGGCCAGGGGCCAAGAAAAGCATCATGAAGGGTGTGGTCATGTGACCTGAGTTTGGAAAGGTCGGGGGTGTTCTAGGTGGCCAGTGGTATGGAAGGTGGGGCCGGCAGCCTCCCGAGTGGAGATGTAGGGGTGTGAAAGGTGGGGCCGGCAGCCTCCCGAGTGGAGATGTAGGGGTGTGAAAGGTGGGGACGGCAGCCTCCCAAGTGGAGATGTAGGCACACCTGGTGTGCAGAGGGAGCTTTGAGCATTCCCGAGACTGTAGGGGGCTGGGTAGGAGCAGGGAGCCTGTGGGCAGGGGTGGAGCATGAACCCAGGGAGGCCCAGCGAGAGCCCAGCCGTGCGGTGTCCTGGGAGGCCATGGCCCGACGACTCGGCAGACCAGCATTGGAGATGGGCGTCTTCCTCCAGGGCCACTGATGTCAGGGCCACTGATGCTGGCGTGGATGGGGGTGGCTGGCGAGGGTGCCATGCGGGCACGTGGGGGCCCAAGGCTGGTGGTGGGCTGTGCTCCAGGCCTTGCCCAGCCAACTGCGTCTTCGGGGTGAGTGATGCTCCAAGACGCCCCGTGGAATGTGGGGCCGGCTCCACTCCTTCCGTAATGGGGTTTTTTATAGTCCGGGGACTCACTGTCCCTCGGCCACTGCCAGCTGTCTGTAAGCTCAGGATTAGAGACCCGGGCCTTTTGTGAGAGCTGGGGCCGGGCCGGCTGAGCCCTTCATGGGGAGGGCCAGACCACGGGGACGGGGAGCGACTGCCTGGCACTGTGAGCGAGCTGGCCAGCAGACAGCATGACGGCCTTCTCCTCGCCTGCCTCCAGGGCCTGGTGCGGGCTCTCTTCTGCCCACTCTACCCAGCTTGGGGGCCCCACCCCATCATCGCCCTCCTGAGCCTCTCAGGGCGCCCTCCTGGATGACATCGCAGTGGGCATTGGCCTCCCCTCCATGCCCCACCTCCACTTCGGGTCAGGAGCACCCCTCACCCACAGCAGGACTGGAAGCCCCATGGGGCCAGGAGGTGCCCAGGGGCCAGGGAACTTGGACTTGAGTCCACCTCGTGGCTGTGTGACGGTGGACAGGTGGCATGCCCTCTCTGGGACTCAGTGTCCTCGTTGCTAACGCAGGAATGGCGCTCTCCCATGACCCGGTTTGGGGACACTACGTGGAAGGAAGCACCACAGCACCAGGTACTGCTCGTCCTCGTGTGCCCGGGGTGGCCGCCAAGGGGCCGGCAGCATTGCCACGTGTCGGGGCTGGCCCGAGTTCCGTGTCCCTGGAATCTACAGCTTGCGTTCCGTGAAGGCGGAGCGTGACTGGGTGGCAGGCTGCGGGGGTTCTAATGCCGAGATTTCCCTTCCCCACCCCTCCTGCCCGCCCCGGCGCCTTCCCTCCTGCGTGCCTTTCTTTGGGCAATGGGCAGAGGCCCCGGAGCGGGCGGGATTCCTGTGAGGTGACGCCAGCCGGAGTGTCCAGCCGGGTGCAGCCAGCCCAGTCGTCCATTCACACAGCCGCCAGCGCTTCATTCACCCCTGGCGGGGAGGGCAGTGCCCCGTGACTCGCAGCTGGGGCTTCTCCATGGGCGGGGGCTGCGTCGCTCTGCCAGTGACACCGAGGTGGCCCCCGGGGGCCCTCCTGCTGCTGTGGGGGTGCAGGGGTGGGTGCTGGCCCCAGCATGCTGCACATGACCTCAGGGTGGCACCCACACACTGGGAGCTCCAGCTTCCCCATGGAAGATGACTGAGGAGGTGGGGAGGACACGGTGCTGGCCAGCGGTGACGGCCTGTGGGCAGGTGCTGTGCCATGCCTTTCGCAAACATCTGATCGCAGCCCTCATAACAGCCCCAGGGAAGGAAGTGCGGTCACACCGCAGCCGTCGTAGGATGTCACCCCAGCTCCAGATGGCACAGCTCCCTTCTCCTGTGGCCGTGGAGCCCTGAGGGGACCCTACTTGATGTCTCTGGGGTCTCCTGGCTGCTTCATTTGCCCTCAAGACGGCTGAGGGGGCGGGGTCACTGAGCCCTTGGGGCAGAGGAGGGACTGATCAAGTACCTGCGGGGTGGCAGAGCAGCCACATCCCCATCCCCAGAGCAGGCCCAGAAGGCAGGTGTGTGGGCGGGTCACTCCCTCTCTCCTCCCCTCGCCCTGTCCGCTTCAGGGACCTAGGATGGGCGGAGCAGCACTCACCCTGGCGCCCAGCAGCCCACGCTGTTCCAAGATGCTGCCAAGTTAGGAGGGCGCGGTGGGGTCCGTGGGGAGTGCAGAGGCTCTGGGCACCCGGCTTCGCGGGCCGGGCGGGGTGTCGGTTCTGGGCACCCGGCTTTGTGGGGCCAGGCAGGGTGTCAGCTCTGGGCACCCGGCTTTGTGGGGCCGGGCAGGGTGTCGGCTCTGGGCACCCGGATTCGTGGGGCCGGGCAGGGTGTGGGCTCTGGGCACCTGGCTTTGTGGGGCCGGGCAGGGTGTGGGCTCTGGGCACCCGGCTTCACAGGGCCAGGTGGGGTGTTGTCAGCTCTTGACGGAGTTTGCTCTGGTTTCCTGCGTTCCTCCTCTTCAGGGTCCCCAGCCCGCAGTCGGGCCAGGCTGACCTGTCTCTGTCCTCCCTCTACAGGGGCTGGTGTCTTCTTCCTGTCCTCAGCTGAGGGGGAGCAGATCAGCTTCCTGTTCGACTGCATCGTCCGAGGCATCTCCCCCACCAAGGGCCCCTTTGGGCTGCGGCCGGTTCTCCCAGGTGTGTGAGCCTGGCGACTGGGGAGGGTACGCTTGGCGGGCTGTGCGATGTCCTGGGGCAGTGGGCCATGGTGAGTCGTCTGCCGGGTTAGGTGGCCGCCCTTCCCACCCCCAGCTAAGGAACCAGAGCCTTTCCAGGCCAAGACTGCAGCCTGGGCTTCGGCAAGCCCTGCTGAGGGCTTCAGAGCAGTCGGGGCTGGACTCGCACCTGCAGGTGCTCTCTCTCGGGGGCCTGAGCTGTTGGGATGCTGGGGCCTAGAGCTTTCTGGCTGGGACCGTCAGCCACAGCTACCCCTGTGCAGTAAGAGACGCTCTGACGCACCGCCACCATCTTCCACGCCCGGGAGCAGGGAGCGCCTTGCCCGAGCTTGGCAGCCCAGCAGCAGCTGATCTGACTCTGCAGCTGGGGTCGGGACTGGCTCTGCCTGAGCCCGGTGTTTAGGCCCAAGGCCACCTTGGGAGGTCACCTGGCTGTGGGGTCTCAGGGCACATTGGGCTGAGGGGGTCTCGTCTTGTCTCACCTGCACTTCTTGGCTGTGGCTGTGGCACTCTGCAGGAGTCCTTGGCCAGGGATGTTGCTGGACCCCACAGGGGCCCTGGTGCCTGGGCACAGTGGGGCTCCCCAGGTCGGGGCAGGTGCTGGGCCGGGTGCCTCCATGGGTTCTCTCGAATGCTCCTCTAGCTCCACGCGGGCAGCGCTTGACCCAACATCCAAGTGAGGCCAAGGCCCAGGCCACGTGGTGGGTGAGCAGCAAGCTCATATGTGGTGCCTCCTGGCACTGGCACCCCAGCTGGGGCGTGGCGGGGAAAGGGTGACTGGGAGGACAGAGGTGAGCGGCATATGGGGCGGGCACCCGGGCCTCCCTTCCCCTGGCCGCATCCCCCAATGCCCGCTGCCCACACCAGCACAGTCATGTAGGGGGCGGCCCTGGGAGGAGGGAGGTGGCACCTGTGGCCAGGGCCCTCCCCACTGCCCTGCCATGCTGGATGGCGCGGCCGCACCCCTGCAGGCGTCTTCCTGCCTAATGGCTGCCGGCAGGTATGGGTGGTGTGGTTGGCATGGATGACGTGGTCGGCGTGTTCGACTGTGCAAGGCGAGGGTGTGCAGGGCGGGGACGGGGACAGACAGAGGCAGCAGGAGGCTGAGGAGGGCTCCCTGCTCTCTCCTGCTCCCCTCAGGCGGTTCCCAGGGAACAGAGGCCGTGCCAGGGAAGCAGCACTGGGTAGAGGATGCTGGGGAGGGTCGGCCTGGGACAGCCACTAGACGGGACAGGCCCCACCGCAGGCAGCAAGCGGGCCAGCCCCAGGCAGGGCCATTGTTGACGGCGGAGGGGGTTGGGCTGACCAGAAGTCCCAGACCCCACTCCACAGGACGTCCTTGTCAGAGTCAGCTGGGAGCTCTCAGAAAGCTCTGCTGTTAGGGCCTCGGCCTGCAGCTGTGCCCCCCAGCTGTGCCCCCCAGCTGTGCCTCTGCTGGTGTGTGGGGGCCTCAGGCCACCTGGAGGTGCTGGTCGAGCCGGGACACTATGCTGGGCAGCACCCCGCTGGAGGAGCCGTGGGCCCAGTCCCTGCAGGCTGGAGTCATGGGAGGGTCTGGGCTGGTGGGGTCGTCTGCCCAGGCTGGTAAAACACTGGAGCCCGGTGATCACAGGGGGCAGCATCCTCATGCTCTGGGCTTTCTGCCATCCTCCTGTGCTGAGTCTGCTGTGACCCACCGGAGGGGCCGAGAGATGCAGAAAGTCCAGCCCCTTGGTCTTCTGCACGTGGACACCAAGGCCCAGAGGCAGCCAGACTGGCCAGGAGCAGGAGGGAAGGGCTCAGAGGCCTGGCGTCTGCTACGCTCCGAGCACGTTACCGTGCTCTGTGCATGTTACCTTCTTGGCCCGGCCTCCACGGGGGTGCACCATTGCTGCACCCTTTTGCAGACGAGGTTGAGAGGCTCAGGGGGCCACCACCACGTCAGGCTGGGCCTGGTGCCTGCGGGCAAGGGTGGGCGGTGGGGGCCACCTCCTCCACTGAGTCTTCTCTCTGCTGCAGACCCAAGTCCCCCGGGACCCTCGACTGTGGAGGAGCGCGTGGCCCAGGAAGCCCTGGAAACCCTGCAGCTGGAGAAGCGGCTGAGCCTCCTCTCGCATGCGGGCCGGCCGGGCAGTGGAGGTGGGGCCGGGGGCTGGCCTGGGCTGTGGGACTTCAGCTAAGGCTCCAGTGGGAGAGCTCAGGAGGCTTCCATGCGTGTGTGGGGGCTGCTGGCTCCCTCTGCTCATTCATGCATTCCTTCTCTCTCCTGCTCATTCCTTCCTTCCTTCCCCCCAACCCACTCATTCATCCTTCCTTCCCCCACCATTCATCCTTTAGCCCCCACCATTCATCTTCCTTCCCCCCACCATTCATCCTTCCTTCCCCCACCATTCATCCTTCCTTCCCCCCATTCATCCCTTCCCTTCCCCCTTATTCCTTCCTTCCCCCCCTTCATTCCTTCCTTCCCCCATTCATTCCTTCCTTCCCCACCCCAACCCCCTCATTCATCCTTCCTTCCCCCATTCATCCTTCCTTCCCCTCATTCATCCTTCCTTCCCCCATTCATCCTTCCTTCCCCCCCTTCATTCCTTCTTCCCCCTGCTCATTCCTTCCCTTCCTTCTGCCCCCGCTCATTCCTTCCCTTCTCCAGCGCTCATTCATTCCTTCCTTCCCCCTCCCCCTCATTCATTCCTTCATTTTCCCTCCTGCTCATTCATTTCTTTCATTCCCTCTTGCTCATTTCATTCATTCCCTTCTCCCCCTGCTCTTCATTCCTTCCCCATTTCCCTCCTCTCTTCATTCCTTCATTTCCCTCCTGCTCATTCATTCCTTCCTGCTCCCCCTGCTTCATTGCTTCCTTCTCCCCCTGCTCATTCCTTCCTTCATTTCCCTCCTGCTCATTTCATTCCTTCCTCTCCCCTGCTTCATTCTTCCTTCTCCCCTGCTCATTCCTTCCTTCCCATTTCCCTCCTGCTCATTCATTCCTTCCCTTCTCTGCTTCCTTCATTTCCCTCCTGCTCATTCATTCCTTCCTGCTCCCCCTGCTTCATTGCTTCCTTCTCCCCCTGCTCATTCCTTCCTTCATTTCCCTCCTGCTCATTCATTCCTTCCTTCTCTGCCTACTCATTCATTTCTTCATGTCCCTCTTGCTCATTCATTCATTCCTTCTCCCCTCTGCTCATTCATTCATTCCTTCTCCCCTCTGCTCATTCATTCATTCCTTCTCCCCCCTGCTCATTCATTCCTTCATTTCCCTCTTGCTCATTCGTTCATTCTTTCTCCTTCCTGCTCATTCCTTCTTTCCGTCTCCCACCCATTCATTCCTTCCCTCCTCCTTCCCCTGCTCAGTTCATTCCTTCCTTCATTTACAGTTCCACATTTACTACACTCTGGTCTGAGATGCTGATGGGAAGGGTGGTTCTGGCCTGAGAGCCTTTGACTCCTTTCCTGCCCAGCAGCTTGTGGCCGGGGGAGACCAAGGCCCTGCGTGTTGGTTTTACCTTCTGTGCCCAGACAAAAGGCTCTCAGGCAGGCGAGCTAGCTGCTCAGGAGCAGAGGTGCCTCCTCAGCTGCCAGTGGCTCTGGCTCTGTTGCCATCGTGGGGAGAGGAGGCGGTGGAAGGGGCTGGCAGGGCAGGAAAGGCCGCTGTGCTCCCAGAAGGGTGGCTGCATGGGCGACTTGTGTTCCCAGGGCCAAGTGCAGGAGCCATGCTGGTCCAGCCAGTGCTCTTGGATCACTGCCTGTTCCCCAGAGGGCACCGAGCAGACAGTGGCCATCTCCCCTCCTGCCCTGCCCCAGGAGGAGGGGACTCAGGTTTGCAGTGAGCTTTTGCCTTCCTGGGGGCGACTCACAACTGCTTTCCCCTTGGGAGCCCTGGAAGGCAGAGCAGGCAGCTTAGAGATGCAGCAGAGATGAAAGCGGCTTTCCCACGAGTGCGTGAGGCCCGGCCTGGCAGGCGGGAGGCAGCCTGGGTGCGCTTCTCATCCCCCGTGGGGAGGGAGACAGGGAGTGAGGCAAGGATGCCAGTGTGGTGAGGGCAGGCGGTGAATCAAGGTGTGTGGGCACAGCTGGGACCTCATGTCCAGGCTGGCAGGGCCTGGGAAGTTCTCAGGAAGGGATGTCCAGGCCAGCCGTGGGGCTGGGATGGTGCAGAGGGCGAGCCGCCCCAGGAGGCCCTGGAAGTTAGTGGGGATGGCTGAGTATGGAGCCCAGGTCTCTTAGGCAGGGAGGGTGGGGAGCTCTGGGGGAGAGGAGGAGGCTGGGACTAAGGTAGTGACAGGGATGCTGAGAGGGAGGGGCCCAGGTCCTAGTAGAGCAGGTGGCAGAAGGACAGGCAAAAACAGGAGTGGACGAGGGGCAGAGGGGCTGTCGTTGGTGAAGCCAGGTTTCTGCTATCGCCCCCAGGGGTTGGGGGGCAGGGAGGGGTGGGGCGAGACCAGAGAGTGCTGGCCCGTGGGGGTCCACCAGGCGTCAGCCCCACCCTGAGTCCTCCCCAGCCCCCTGCACCCCCCTCAGCTGCCTTGGCTTCCTGCTCTGTCTCAGGGGATGACCGCAGCCTGTCCAGCTCATCCTCAGAGGCCAGCCACTTGGACGTCAGTGCCAGCAGCCGGCTCACCGCATGGCCAGAGCAGTCCTTGTCGTCGGCCAGCACGTCGCAGGAGGGGCCTAGACCAGTAGTTGCCCAGGCCCCCGGGGAAGCCATGCTGGGTGCCTCAAGGCCACCTCCCAAGCCGCTGCGGCCACGGCAGCTGCAGGAGGTCGGCCGCCAGAGCTCCTCGGACAGCGGCATCGCCACTGGCAGCCACTCCTCCTACTCTGGCAGCCTCTCGTCCTATGCGGGCAGCAGCCTGGACGTGTGGCGGGCCACGGACGAACTGGGCTCACTGCTCAGCCTGCCAGCAACCGGGGCGCCCGAGCCCAGCCTGTGTACCTGCCTGCCTGGGGCCGTCGAGTACCAGGTGCCCACCTCCCTGAGGCCCCACTATGACACACCGCGCAGCCTTCGCCTGGTTCCCAGGGACCACAGCCCCGCCTCGCAGGGCAGCCCCGGCGACGGTGCAGCCGGGGACTCAGGCGGCCAGACGTCCGCTGGGTATCCCTCTGGCTGGCTGGGCACGAGACGGCGGGGCCTGGTGATGGAGGCCCCCCAGGGCAGCGAGGCCACACTGCCCAGCCCGGCCGCCGGCGAGCCCTGGGAAGCAGGCAGCCCCCACGTGGGGCCATCCCCGGCTTTCTTTTCGGCATGTCCAGTCTGTGGAGGACTCAAGGTAAACCCCCCTCCTTGAGGGCCACAGATCTGGCCTCGTGGCTGCAAAGGGGCTGAATTTGCCCCCAGATGGGAGAGGAGGTGGCGCTGGCCTCCTTGCTCTGTATTCTGCGGGAGGGATGGGGGGGTCTCCCGGAGAGGGGAGTTGGAGGGGGCGCCCTGCGGCTGCCAGTGGAGGAAGGGGCTGACGGGGAGGTGAGTTTTGGGAGGCAGGGGCTCTGGGTCCGGCAGGTCGGGGTCACCAGAGCCCCAAGGCCCAGCTGCTTCACTCTGTGTCCCCCAACCCTGAGGATCAGGTGGGTGCTGCATCTCTGCTGGCTGGTGCCTCGCACTGGGGCACCAAGGGCTGGAGGCCCCGCTGCTGGCCTTGTCCTCCTCGGGCCTCACACCCGCTTTGTGGGTGGCCGGTTCTCCCCGTCACCTCTCTGGTGTGGTCACACCACCTGCTAAGCACCAAGCCACCACAGAGGCTCCGGACACCCGGGCTCCACCAGCCCAGCCCCCGGGCTCCGTGCGCGCTGGCCCTCGTCCCCTTCTATGGGAGAAACGGAAGCTCAGGAGGCTGCGTGGCTCGCCGGGTCTCTGGGGTCTGGGCCCCACTGCTCCCCGATGAAGCCCTTGTGGGCAGGCTCCGGCAGCAGGCGGTGTCCTCGGAGCAGCCTCACCTGCTGACCCCGCGGGGAGGGGCTGCGTGCCCCAGGTCCCTAGTGGCGGGGAGGGGCTGCGTGCCCCAGGTCCCTAGTGGGAGTCCCGCTGGCTCCCGTCTGTACCTCCTCGCGGGGCCAAACACTGCCTTGGCATCTGGAGGCTCCGGGCCCTGCGTGTGTTTCCCCAGGCCCAGGGCTCAGCCCCGCTTGGTGCTCAGCAGCTCTGTGTCGGAGGCGGGGCTGCGTCTGGCCCATTGTCCATGCCCTGGGTGGCTTCCTCTCGTACATCCTGGAGCCGGCCCTGACCACAGTCCAGCAGCTCCCTGTGAACACTTCGCTTTGTCCCTTCGCTGTCGGCCGTTTCTAAACCTGGACACTGTTTGTAATACATTCTTAGACTGGAAATAAAATATTCTTTTCTTACCACTTTGTCCTCATCCGTTGCCCAGCCACCTCACCTGCCCTCCACTCGGGGCCTCTGCCTGGATCCGAAGTGCCCGGGCCAACCTCCTTGGCCTTTGTTTCAGAGAGTGCGAGAGGCCTCATCCGTCTTGTCAGCCTTGGGCCTAAACGCTGTGGTGTGCGGAGAGGCGGCTCCAGGCAGCCCTCGGGCTGGGATGTGCACGTGTGGTGGGTGTGTGGGGTATGTGTGGTGTGTGTGTGCACGTGTGGTGTGTGGGCATCCGTTGCCCAGCCACCACCTGCCCTCCACTCGGGCCTCTGCCTGGATCCATGCCCGGCCAACCTCCTGGCCTTTGTTTCAGAGAGAGTGAGAGGCCTCATCCGTCTTGTCAGCCTTGGGCCTAAACGCTGTGGTGTGCGGAGAGGCGGCTCCAGGCAGCCCTCGGGCTGGGATGCAATGCGGTGGTGGTGTGTGGGGTGGCGTGGTGTGTGTGTGGCACGTGTGGTGTGTGGGGTATGTGTGGTGTGTGTGTGCACGTGTGGTGGGTGTGTGGGGTATGTGTGGTGTGCGTGCACGTGTGGGTGTGTGGGGTATGTGTGGTGTGTGCGTGCACGTGTGGTGTGTGGGTATGTGTGGTGTGTGCGCACGCAGGGTGTGTGGGTATGTGTGGTGTGTGCACGTGGTGGTGTGGGTATGTGTGGTGTGTGGGGTATGTGTGGTGTGTGGGGTATGTGTGGTGTGTGGGGTATGTGTGGTGTGTGTGCACGTGTGGTGTGTGGGGTATGTGTGGTGTGTGTGTGCACGTGTGGTGTGTGGGGTATGTGTGGTGTGTGGGGTATGTGTGGTGTGTGGGGTATGTGTGGTGTGTGTGGGGTATGTGTGGTGTGTGCGTGCACGTGTGGTGTGTGGGGTGTGTGTGGTGTGTGTGTGCACGTGTGGTGTGTGGGGTATGTGTGGTGTGTGGTGTGTGGGGTATGTGTGGTGTGTGCGTGCACGTGTGGCACATTCCTGGGTGTGTCCTGGAGACCACAGTGGGGTCTGCAGTACTCCCTCAGGCTCAGGCATGGGGTTCCTCAGGTCCGGGTGAGGGCGGACCCTCCAACCCCAGGCCAGGAGGGGCTGGCTCTGAGCCCGGGGCCCCTGCCCTGCCTGTCTCCCCGATATGGGGCCGAGTTCCAGGCTTGTCTCGGTCCCCTGCACATCCTGTGGGGGCGCCTGCCTGCCCCTGGCCTGCCACCTGTTGGGGACCGACTCTGACAGGCGAGTTCTGGGGGGCTTTCTGCAGCGGTGCCTGGTCTCTGAGCCTCAGTTTCCTCTTGCAAGCGGGATGACAGACCTCGCCTCGCTGGGCTGCACTGAGGGTCTGATGAGGTCACTCTTCAGGCACTTAGTAGCTGCCTGTCACCATCGCCCTCGCTGCTGTCACCTCCGGAGGTGGCCGCGCCAGTCTTGTTGCAGGACGAGTGAGGCTGTGGCTCCTCTGCTGGGGACCCGGACCCTCCTGCCAGAGTCCTCGTCATCCACGCTCAGCCCTGTGTGTTCCCACCGGTCGTCTGCCCAAGGCTGGGGGGCAGGGTCCCTCTGGCGAGAGCAGACTGAGGTACCCCAGGGTGGCCTGGGGGTGGTGTGGGGTCGTGGAGCCTCTTGCTGGCGGGGCTGGGTCCCCGGACAGCCTTTCCCTGTGGGGATGTGGCCAGGCCGTCTGCCTCTCCCCACTATGCTTGTGAGTGGCCTCGCTCTGGGTGTCTGAAGGTTCCAGCCACCACCTGCTATGGCAGCCCAGGGTCTCCAGCCTCAGTACCCAGTTCCCAGGTGGGTGGCCAACAGGCTGGAGGCTTCTCAGGCCGGGGGCAACCAGATGGGTCAGACACTGGTTCTGTTTTCTTGCTGCCCCCGGAGCACCTGGGCCTGGCCAGGCAGGGGACAGGGTGGACATGGACCTTTGCTGGTTTGGGCTCTGTACCATCTGTACCTGCCGGCGTGGCCCCCCGGGAGCAGCTGGGGACGGGCCCCCTTGGGGCCTGTGTATGTGATGAGCTCAGGGGGTGTCGGCCTTTTGTCAAAGGTTCTCAAAGTCTAGACCAGCCCAGTTTGCTCAGGGGGCCTCATCTGAGGGTCCCAGCCCTGTGACTGTCTGCCCTTGAGTCTGGCCTGGACCAGAGCTAGGTTCTGAGCCTCAGTTTCCAGCCTCCCAGCGCCCACCCACATGAGGCCCCTCAGAACAGGAGGGTGCTGCACCCTCTTTCTGGCCACCGGCCACCAGAGCCCATGTCGGGCATTCTCTTGGGCTGGCCTCCCTTCCGCTTGTCCGGGCTGGAGGAAGGCAGGAAGCCTCTGTGCTCAGCCGTGGGCTGCCGTCCCTCCCGCAAGCGGCCTTCAGACCCCACCCCAGGCTCCTTCGGGGACTCAGGACACCTCCTGTTAGGCACAGCCCACTTCAGAGGCCCAGGAGGAGGTCACCTGCAGTGTCGGGGAACTTTGCTTATCTCATCTGGGGCCTCCCAGTGGGGCATTTCCAGGGGCACCCCCCTGCGGATCCCCCCACCACCAGCTTCTGAGAGCAGGGCCCACACCCTGAGGGATGAGAAAGGAAATCACGGCCGCCCTTGGAGCAGCCTCTCAGCTCTGAGGTCGGAGCCCAGACACTACCTCGTATGGGCGTGGTCCTCCTCCAATAAACCTCTAGTAGCAAAATAGTGGGGCTGGACTGGGCCTCGGAGCTCAGAACCGCCCCCTCCCCAGATGCCAAAGCCTCCACCTCCCCCATGGGTGGTTATGGGGGCTACCGCCAGGCTGTGTGGTCAAGGTGGTGGGCGACCCAGAGATCTGGGGGCTGTGGGGCAAAGGGCCCTGGAGAGAAGGCATCAAGGATGGCGGGCTGGACTCCCTGCAGGTGGCCCAGGTCCCCCAGCCTGTGTCAATCTTGGGGGTAGTGTCCTTGTTCTCAGGGGCCCCGGGCATAGGATGAGGGGAAACCTAAAGGGTGCACTGACCGGGTTCTCTTTGGTTTAGGGAGTGGCCGCCTCAGCCCCGGGACCTGCGACAGCACATTCAGGTAGGCACCTGGAGCTGGTCCCCCAGAGCTCGGGGACAGGGAGGTGGGAGTCTGGGTGGGTGCAGATGGCAGAGTCTGGCTAGATGGGGATGGCAGGGGCCCACAGCCAGCGGGAATGTGGGCAATGGGGTGAAAGTGGGTGTTGGGTAACAGTGGATGTTGGGTGACAAGTGGCAGTCATTGCTGGCTGGCAGTGGGTGTTGGGTGGCAGTGGGCAGTGGGGGTGAGTCCCAGCCCAGGTGTGGACAGCAGGGCAGTGGGTAGAGGGCAGGCTGCTGGCTCCGTGTGGCCTGGACGAGTGTGGCCTGTCTCGGAAGCAGCTGCTGAGAGCGGCCAGTGGGCAGCTGGATGACGGACTGAAGGTTTGGAGACACAGACTGGGGTCCGTGCGTCCCCAGGCCCTGAGTGTGGACCTGTTCCTGGGAGGGGGATGGCAGGAAGGCAGTCAGGGTTGGGGTCCAGGAGCCCCAGCTCCGGAGGAAGGGCTGTGTCCTCGGAGAGCGGAGGGGACCTGTGGAGGCTGGGCTGGTGGTAAGCGACTTAGTGAGGGGCAGGGCATTGGTGCCCTGGCAGGTGCAGTTTTGGGGCCAGGTGGGGAGGGAGGGCCAAGCAGGGAGGCAGTGGGAAGGTGCCGGTTCCCAGGGTCTCCCTAGAGAAGCCTGGCAGTCACTGGGGACAGAGCCCTGCTGAAGGTTGGGCAGGGCTGAGAGAGGCTGGAGGTGAGGCGGTTGGCCTGGGGTGGACGGGTGGCATCAGGGCCAGTTCTGTGCCTCAGTTTCCCTGTGGAGTAGGAACCACTGCGGGCTGAACCTTGGATTCCTCAATCTCTTCTTCCCAGGCAGCTGGCACCTACAGCGGGGGCAGGGTCCAGGCAGACCTGGAGGGGACACCCAAGGTTGGGGGCAGGGTCCAAGCAAGACTGGAGGGGACACCCAGGGTTGGGGGCGGGGCCCAGGCAGGCCTGGAGGGGACACCCGGGGATAGGGGCAGGGCCACAGGCAGGCAGGGGCAGCTCGGGAAAGCCCCCGTCAGCCGGCCTTGGCCCTGGGCTGGACACTGATCCCTGCAGTCCAGAGTGCTGAGGCTAGCCCTGCCCCAAGGGTCCTCCTGGGCAGCCTGCTGTTGCCTCCCCAAGGCCGCCCATACCCTTCAGATGTCTTTTACCCAGACACGGGTGCCCTGGGACAGAGTGTGGGGGTCAAGCGGGCAGGCCCGGTATCTGCTGGAGGATGTGAACCTTTTCCACAGAGGCCGAGGGCTCGGGAGGGGCGTCCGGGGTCTGTCATGGGACAGAGGTGAGCCAGGCTCGTGTGGTGGTGTCGGGCCGCCAGCCCAGGGCGGGGTCCGGGAGGAGGGCGCAGAAGTGCCAGTCGATTCCCGGTTGCTGCTTCACCAAAAGAGTGTCTGAGGTACTGGAAGCCATGCTCACAGAAGCCGAAGCAAAATCCAAGTCCCAAAGAGGGGACGGGAGGAGGAGCTCTGAGGGCCCTGGAGCTGGTGACCGTGGGGGAGATGCAGATATGGACACGCCCGGCCCAGCGCTGCTTACAGCGCCCGCGCGACTCCAGGTGGTGTTGGGAACCTTCGTCCCCTTTCCCTGCAGTCAGGCCTCACGCTCCTTCCTGCTTCTACCCTTGCCCCTCACTGTCCACCCTTGGGGGACAGCCTTGGAAGAACGGATGCAATCTTAAAACTAGGTACCAGCCTGCAGGGGGGGTGTCCAGCCCCACCATGGGCAAGCCCCGGCCCCGCCCCTTGACTTCGATGCCCCCTTTCCAGACTCCAGGTCCCAGCGCTCCCCTAGCTCTCCCCAGGCCCTTACCACACCTGCCTCTCCCACCGCCCCTTCTTGGCCTCGGCTCCTCAGCCGTGTCCCCTCCTCCAGGCAGCTGGCCCTGATGCCCCTGTCCCTGCTGGCCCAGGTGCCTGCCTGGGCTCCAGAACTTGGCCACTGTGCTCTGTGGCTCA